TTTTTTGAGATAGAGTCTCACTGTCTCACACTTGGTAGAGTGCTATGGCATTACAGCTCACAACAACCTCTAACTCTTGGGCTTAAGCAATTCTCTGGCCTCAGCCTCTCAAGTAGGTGGGACTATAGGTTCCCTCCATCACACCTGGCTATTTTTTGGTTGCAGTTGTCATTGTTGTTTAGCAGGCCGGGGCCAGGCTCGAACCTGCCAGCCTTAGTGTATGTGACTGGCACCCTACTCACCGAGCCACAAATGCAACTTTCTTAGAGGAAATTCAATAATTTATTATAAATTCACAGAGGGGGTTGTGGCATTCTGGGTAAAATAAATGCATGATGCAAATTGTACTGTGTTGACTCCCAGCAAAGTCTAAACTAGGTATTCAATTTTTTTCCCCCTCTTTGGTAAATTCTTTATGCACATACCATCTACACACATATGTATATCTTTATGTTTCATTCAGATTAAAAGGATTATATTATGTACTATACCAAATGAAACTCTATTTTTACTATCTGGGAGAGCAAATACCTTTCCTTACTTTTACAAAAGTAATTATTTTTATGCAGATAAAATTTAGAATTATCTTATGTGATTTTCTCTAATACCTCCCAAAATTACTGTATTTTTTCAAAATTTCAAATATTAGGGTGGTACAAACATTTTTGTTGCATAGATACACTGTATAATACTGAGGTCAGGACTTTCCTCCAGTGCGCCCATCACCAAGACAGTGTTCATTGCACCCAATAGGGAAGTTTTTAACCTTTCCTCTTCCCCTATCCTTTAGTCTCTTTGTGCTCATGTGTACACATCATTTAGCTCCAAAAAACTAGTGAGAACGTAGAGAATGTATGGTGTTTGTTTTTCCATTCTTGAGAGACTTTGCTTTAGGGTAATGATCTCCATTTTCATCCAAGCTGCTGTGAAAGACATTATTTCATCCTTTATTATGGCTGAGTAGTACTCCATGATATATGGTGTATATTAGGGTGACCAGATTTTAACATTTGTAAAGCAGGACAACATGGCGGGGGGGCGTGGCAGGGCAGGGGACCGAGCAGGGCAGGGCCTGACAACAATGCAAACTTTGATAAGGAGTTCTCCATAATCACTTCTCAACAATTATTTGTTATTATTACAGTTTAACATTATAAAATTAACAAAAATAATATAAAACTCATATTCTGGCGAAATAGCCACATGGCAGCCGAAAGCCGTATATTCCCTTCCTGTTCTCCCGCCTGTTCCTGCATTCTTTCCAAAAATCAGGACTTTTTTAAAATGCCGCGGGACCCGGGACAAATTGTTAAAAAAAAAATGGGACTGTCCTGCCAAAAGCGGGACTGTCTGGTCACCCTAGTGTATATGTGTGTGTGTGTGTGTGTGTGTGTGTGTATATATATATATAAACACAGAGAGAGTGCCAAAAAATGTATACACAGTTAAGAAAGGAAAAAAACTGTATAAAATTATAATAGTCAAGTCATTTTAGACTTCTGCAATCACTAGAGATACAAGATACAATATATAAGATAACAAACATTATCAGTATGTACATATACTGATACACATATATACACACATACACATATGGTATAGTCACGTATATATGTGATATAGGCATTGTGGCAGGCACCTGTTGTCCCAACTGCTTGGGAGGCTGAGGCAAGAGGATTGCTTACAGTTTCTTTATCCACTCATTAATGGGCACTTAGATTGATTCTACATCTTTGCAATTCTGACTTGTGCTGGGATAAACATTTGAGTGCAAGTGTCTTTTTGATTAAATGACTTCTTTCCTTGGGGTAGATACCCAGTAATGGAATTGCTGGATCAAATGATACTTCTACTTTTATCTCTTTAAGAAATTTCCAGACTGTTTTTCATAGGAGTTATATGAGTTTGCAGTCCCACCTATAGTGTATAAGCATTCCTTTTTCTCTGCACCTGTGCCAATATCTATTGTTTTTGACTTATAAGTAATGTGTATTCAGATAGGGGTAAAGAGACATTTCATTATGGTTTTGTTAATAATTTGTATTTCTCTGATGATCAATGTTGTTGACCTTTTTTTGTATGTTTCTTCTGTATTTGCTCTTTTGAAAGTTTCTGTTCATGTTTTTTGCTCACTTTTGATGAGTTTGTCTGTTTTTCTTTTCTTGCTGATTTGTACAATCTGAATCTTGAGATTCAGAATATTGTTTTTTTGTCAGATGTATAGTTTACAAATATTTTCTTCCCCTTTGTAGGCTGCCTGTCTACTTTGTTGATTATTTCCTTTGGTGGGCAGAAGGTTTTAAATTTAAGTCCCATTTACTTATTTTTGCTGTTGCTGTATTTGCCCTAGGGATCTCAGTGATAAATTCTTTGCATCAGCCTATGTCTAGAAGAGTTTTTCTTATGTTCTCTCCTAGAATTTTTATAGTGTCATGTCTTACACTTAAATCTTTATTCAATCTTGAATTAATTTGTTTATATAGTGAAAGATGGGGGTCTGGTTTCATTCTTCTCCTGTGGCTATTCAATTTCTCAGGACCATTGTTGAATAGGGCCCCCTGTGCCCAGTGTACATTTTTGTCTGCTCTGCCAAAGATCAGCTGGGCCTCTGATAGAGACAGATGGGGAAGAGTGCTAGTGATTCACTAAGAGTTGAAAGATGAAGTGCATTCTACAGACATTAGATGCAGCTTGTGAGAGTAGAAGTGTCCCAATTTTATAATGCCCTATTTGTACCCTCACATGCTGCATACTAAGTTCAGAGCCTGTGTTCCATCTTTTCACTCTTAGTGAATTGCCAGTACTTGTTATTTGCCTATTAGCAGATGACCATGCTCCCTCAGTGCCACAAAATATGCATTCCTCCTGCTTGTAATACTCTACTTCAATCATGTCTTCATCTTGCAAACTCCCAAATGTACTGACCCTACTTTAAATCTCTTTTAAAATTCAATTTGTATGTCCTTTACTAGAGGGTCTTTCCCTGGTTTGTTGACCATTTCTTTTATGCACACTTGTCTTAAATCTCCATTTTCACTCTGCCATTATTATCACTGTGATAGCAGTTACTTGATCATGCAATGTGTGTATTTGTTCATGCTTGTCCCTGTACTGTGAGCCCATTAAAGGCAAAGAATTATATCTTTCAGACCTAGATTCCCAGCTCCTAGAGTACTTGCTGCCCTCCATACACGTAATAATGAAATTATTTGAGTAAATGAGCAAATGAATGAATGGATGGATATTTAGGTGTTTATTTAAATCTTTGTAGGAAACTGGGCAGCCCCAAACAATTCATCTGCAATATGACATGAAAGGAAGAGATATTTGGGATAAATGAGTTATCTTAAATAACTAAGATGTCATTAGTTTAAAAATTGCCTGTTTATGTTACTTGCACTGATATAGGTGAGATCTTTCCTGCCTTGCTCATTGTTATACTAATACACAGGTGTCAGTAAAGTTCACGTGCACTTTACTGTGATACTATTTTAATAAATTGCACATGAACTTTATGTCTACCCTGTATAACATCGTACTCAGTTCTCAAAATATATTTGATTAATGTACTTTGACTGAATAGGAATAATGACTCACAGCAATCATAGCAAAATATGTTTATATATCTACATTTCTAGGAAATTTCTTTTACTTTAGCATGTTCTCCACAATTTTGAAAAAGTCTAAGGAAGCTTTCATGGATCATTGTTAGAACCATAGTACTCAGTAGTCAATGGTGCCTTGTGTTGTTTTTGTAACATTTATTCTTTTACTTTTTCTGCCTTTTATTCTATGCAGACTGTCCCTTTTTCTTAGTGCCAGGGAACTGTATTTGATTGCCCCCTAAAATCATATAACAAATTTAGTGTTTAACTCTGGGTGTCACTGGTTTCTATAAACATTTGAAAGAAAGATGATATCAATAACAATTAGCACCACTGAGGAGGTCTCTTTCTTTAGGAATTTATATTGAGAAATTTTGTTGTGTAACTATTTACAAAATTGTATTCTTTCATTTAAACGTTCTTCTGATAAAAACAAAATAGTTACAAAAGATCTGCATTTATCAACCAAAAAGCCACAAAGTCCATGAACTCATCATAAAAACTGATGCATGCATTCTTAGCTAAAAATGCTGCCTTTTTTTTTTTTTTCCAAAAATGTTCACTAAAAGACCTCTAAGTGGACATTTGGTACCCCCAGAGATGTGTTGATGAAAATTTCTCTAAAAGGAGAAGAGAGATGTTTAAGACAAAAGCTAATATTCTTATAAGGAGAAAACATAAACTGGCTTGTGATATGTACAATTACATTTTCTCCTCTT